CTTTCATGCATTCACGAGCACATTTCGTTAATATGAAGGCTTTTCGACAAAACTCTCGAAGGAAAGTGGTTCAATCCGTGAATTATATCAAAATTAACAATTACTTGTAATAAATATAGCACCAACGATCGGAAAATCAATTCTTACTTATTTCACAGTTTCGATGAGATGTTTTCACCTTCCTTCTTACTCTTAAATATTCTCTATCCACATCAAGAAAAATGACAAGAACTGATAGAAATCAGATGAGTATGAATCACATGACTAATATCAAAGAAATATTAGGCTTAACTTCTTAGCTTAATACCATCACCGAATACAACGATAACATTGGTAAAGCTACTTCGAATGGCATTACTATGGAATTTTTAAAACTGCATATCATATCAATCAACTTTGGCGATGTAAGTATCTAAGTGGCATTTCAGTCATTTAACTTGAACGCTCAGAGAAATCACAGAGTTCCACTCCAGCATCATTCCGTTAAATATTACTACTATCTACATGCAACTTAGACAATAATACAATATCTTTACCTAATGTCTTCACTTGGGATCACATGCAGATAGTTGGAAAAATGCTGATACATGGAGGGAGTCTTCTCTTCAATCGACGAGAAGATGGTTCAATAAGACGGTCAGTTTACAGAAAGCCTACATGGACAGGACAATACCTGAATTTCCACAGATTTTGTCCAGTCCATTACAAGCGAGGTATGGTAAAATGCCTGTTTAATAGGATCTATCACATCATTACACCAGATGCGATGGATGAAGACATCAAATTACTGACCAAAGCACTTGTGGAAAACGGATGTCCATTGAAGTTTATAAACCCTTGTAAAGGTCAAGTAGCACCAAAGCCAACTCTATACACGGTCCTTAAGAAAAGTGTCCATATCACTCTACCATACAGAGGGGAGCCAGATAGTATCATTTTGAGACGTAGGCTGACATCAGCCATTAAGAAAACATATTACCATATTATTAAAACACCTTACCATTGTGGAGAAAACAAAACACACGCTTCACCAAAAACCTAAACACTGCATCAGTGATTACGTTACATCCTATTGTGTTTACCAATTTACATGTGTCTGTGTAGTCACACATATATAGGGAAGAGTAATCGAGTCATGCAGTTGAGGGTAGGAGAATATGTGCCTAAATGGCTTCAAAAACAACTGCAGTGTGAAACAGTGATAAACGCTGGTGGGAGACGACCTTCTTCATCTATAGCTAAATATATCATAGAAACAGGTCACAAAGTTAATGTTCAAACAGATTTCAAAGTTATATATAGAAACAGTTAGGGACGTATTATGAGATTTGCGGAAGCCATAGCCATACACAAATTTAAACCACTTTTATGTGTACAAAAACAGTTTGTCCTTACACTACACCTACCTTGGTAAACTTTGTTTTCTTACCAAGATTAGGATCAACTATATCACTCTTTGTCCTGTTTGTTGTCATCTTTCTGAATTTTAATCCCCTACTGTGTTAATTGTTGTATTTGTTCCCTCCCCCTTCCAGTCCTCGGTTTAATATATATTGACTTGACAAGTAAATATGTGGAGCATCAGATTATTCGAAATGTATTGCACAAATACATCACATTGTTCAGATAAACTTCGTCTTCTAATTACGCTATCGAAAATACTGATAATATCAATCCACTAGGTTGCCGTCAAGTTGCTGCGAATCTTAACAGAAAGCTTATAAGAATTTTTATGTCATTTAGTAACAGATATCAACCTTTAAGAATTTCCAGTCAAGAAAGTATGTTATTGTCAGTGATCACTTACGGTAATTAAGATGTTTTACACAGTTCAGTCACAGTTACAGACTTGATTTGGTGCTTCCAGTAATTTCTGTATTATGTTACGATCCTAGATGAAATCACTTACTGAATAACATTATTTAGAAGATAATAGAAGAGTAGTTATTATCACAATGCCTGAAGAATGAATAACCCTGAGAATAATATCTTTTGATAGGTACTAATTTTATTCGAAACATGATTAGCTCACAAGCACCATGGACTGATTTTGGCTGGAAGTGAATCGTTATAAAACCCAAATGAATAACCAAACGATAGTAATGATACAATAAGAGAAGACGTAATTGAGCCTGTCAACATTTCGGATTCATTTATCAGTTTAACTCTTCCTATGGTTTGATAAAATTGTATTATTGATACTGAGTATTTATTGGAGGGGAAATGAAAATTTGGATCACGACAAGGTTTGGACAAACAACCTCCCTTGAAATACCTTGTAAATCAAGATTAGGAACAGTTCTAATAGCTTAACCCACTGATCTTATCTGAGTGGTATACGTTCAGATTTTCGGCTTCAGCTGGTGAATAACAACGAGCAAAAGACTTCGATCTAGAATTTCTCGCTTCCTCCCTTCAACCTCATAATATGAGTGTGATGCATTCTACACTTACAGCCATATCATACATACACTAATGAACAGTATTCAGACGCAGATTTTCCTTTCAAATAGACTCGTGATAAAAATGCTTTTTCTTTTACAAAGTATACCCTTCTTTGAACTGGTTTGACATTAAACTGATACGTTAAACACCAACTTGAACAGGTTCGTACTGTTCATATTATCAGACTTACTGGACAGCTCGAATTGAAGAAGAAAACATGATAGGCATGAAAAGCTTTTAAGAATTCCATACTGAATCCCATTTCAAACTGGATCTTTATCCTTATATAAAAGTATGCAGGGAGAATGGATCTAAACAATTGAGTTAATTCAGTTTTTAAGGCTTATCTCGATAAAGATCCAAAGATCTTCACGAACCCTGGCGAAAGCCATTTGAGATCATTACGGTGGTCAGCCACTTAAAAGCGTAAACTCTTTTGGTTTATTGGTGGATTAACTGTATATTAATGATAGATGGTTTCTGGGAGTGGAATCTAGGGCGCGAGTTTCATTCTATTTGGTACCCCCCCCCCAGCTAGATATATGTGCCTCTCAGTAAGCGATGTTGTTCCCACTAGGACCGGAACTCAGCATGGACCACTTCAAAAGCCAGAGAGCTATCCACTAAATCACCGATTCAAGACAACCAGTTGTTGTGAGACGGGTGTGCTTTAAATGTTTTTGTGTGTATTACCCAGTCGTTGAGAGGATTGAATTGGTTGGTCTCTACTGGCATATGAGCTCCTGGTAGGGTGCTGTGATATCCCACTGCTAGCCACTACCCATCATTGATATCTAGTTGAAAATACAGGCAATATAGAGGGATTCGGGTAGAAGCCCATATGCCAACAGAAACCTATCAATCCGGTCTCATCAACAATTAGATAATAAAAGTTACATCTTACAGAATAACTATATAATCTTTAAAAAATGTTATTCAGCCACCTAGTATCGTAGTGTTATATGCTATGAGTCATTCCAGATCAGATTACATTAGTCTTCAACAGGTATACTGTTTTTAAACACCACCATAGAATTTGTCAGAATTAAATACAAGGTGAGAAAATGTGTAGTTTCTAAGTACTTCGGTTGCATCAGCTAACTATTCAATACATGGTTGTTTTATCTATAATCGATGATAAGACATTCATAAGGAGGTGGTTCAACGATTTTTCTTGTCAGTCAGCCATGCATGAATTCCATATCAACAATATCTGGCACTATCCAGGCAGCATTTAATTGTTTCTAGTCATAGTATCTTAAGTGGTTCGTCGAATAATCAGGGCGATTCAGTCTATGAGTTTGAAACAGAACTTAATGCTCGTTCTTGGTCTCATCGCACATTGCAGTCGGTTACAGGTTTATATGGTCATATAAATCCACAGACAAGTTGAAAGTGGTTCAAATATCAAGTAACAGTTTTCCACAAGTATACTAATAATTTAAAGACATACTTTGCACTAGATTCTATGTCTACGGTCTAAACTTTAAAGTGGGAAAGATTTCACCCGATAAATATGAAATTTGAAAATCATCTTCCCTAAAATAGGATCAGAACATACTAGTTAACACCATTTTAAAGCCTTTAGTATTGCTGATAAATTACTGATCTATGCATTATTAACAAACGTTTCCATAAATAATTTATCATCATCACAATTTATTCAAAATTATGACAAATAAAACACGCTTTGTAAAATTATTAAGATTCCAGAGCGTAAAAATTGTATGAAATTCACTCAAAGGGACAAGATACGTTCTATAACGTGAACGTTTCATGATTAAAAAAACCTAAATGGATAACACATGGAAATAAGTAAAAATTCGATAACTGAAGTGTTATTTCTCTAACTTTTCTTTTATCCCGCTTTAAAAAATAACTTTGAGAAGATTTGCTCTTATAACTGACATGCTTTTAGCTAGCAGCAGGATCTACGACATCCGTTTCGTCATATTTGGGACTCATCAGCCAGATATACCTGAACCTTGATGAATGGTGTTGTACCCACTGGGACTAAAACTTCGTATTCATCGCCTCAAACGCAAAAGTGTTATCCGCTAGGCCATTGAGGTACAACAATCACCTCTTGTTCAGTAAGTGTTAGTTATTATTATTTGTTGATGTTTGTAACCCTCCGTTTTTCTACAGGACGAAGTTATACTAATACGAGGTTAGAGTTTCAATCGGAACAACACTCACTGGGATGTAGGTTTATCCGGCTGATGAGTCCTAAATAGAATGAGACGCGCGTCCATGATCCCACTATTAGCCATAGACAAGACACGTATAGAAGTATATATTCAGACAATATCGAGGCATCTGCATAGAAGCCAATATGCCAACAAATGTTGATCAGTTCAATCAAGTATAAAAACAGTGAATTACAAGTATATTAGAAAATAATCAGAACATTGAGAAGACGTTATTATCGTCTGATAAGAAGATAACAATGAGCATTATCATTTCAAGCATATAAATAATTATATTTCAATTGATAAAGCTATAAATCAAGTTTATCTTGTCAAAATAAGCACATATTTCTTAAGATATATTTATTAGATCATTGTTTTAGAATTCTCAAAAGTCATTAATTGAGTTAGAATAATCCAGACAATTGAGGCAATAAAAAAAACAAATGACGATATCCAACTGACTAACACAGGCCAAAGTGGATGAACACTGATTATCTCCGGAGTATATAACTGAAAAAATAGAATAAAGTGAGGAGAATATGTTTATTTGTAATGCTATGCATCAAATACTAAAATTAGTTTGTCTAAAAACCTAATTCAAGTAAAATACAAGAAACCAGTAAACGACTATGCAACTATTGACTAATACTTGAAATTTTCTGTTACTATACTGTGTGAAATTGTTCCACCTCTGTTTGTAGATGGACTCCTATTTAGATGTCTCGATACTGCCGGATATTCATGAGAAAGTATTCATCTTGGTAACTCATCATCTGAATGTATCTGTTTTTCAGTGAGTGATGTTGCTTCCACTGAGACTCGAGTGCAGTACCCATCCGTACAAAATTCAGAAAGTTATCCATCAGGCCACTGGACAACTCCTAGCAACCAAAAAGACTACAATATGATAAATATCTTCGCAGTACCAAGGCGTCTAAGTAGAAGCCCATTTACCAACAGAGGTCTAGCAGTTCGACCCATTGCGGTAAGCAGGAAGTTGCAAGTATCAATAAACAACAGCTAGTACTCGTTGCATAAGCAGTGGCTATCGTACCCGAGTAGCCTAATGGATATCGCCTTGATGTTTGAAGTACTAGGTTTGAGTCTCAGTGAGAACATCACTCGCTGGAATGCACGTAAATCCAGCTGAAAAGCTCTAAATAGGATAAAATGCCCGTCTCGAATTCCATTGCTAGCCATAAATGAACTAAGACTGTTCAAATTGCTATAGTGGTGTCCGCTTGTAAGAGACATCACAACTGCACTTTATTTAACACTATTTAAGAGTATTTTTACTTTTCTATTGATTGCCTTTTTCGGCGTATTGGCCTCTATCTGCTTTCCAGAAGAGAACGTATAATTCTGTAAAGCATAACAATCGGTAAGAAAGTTCAAGTTATAGGAAATAACTTATACGCGTCGTGCATACAGTAACCGTCATGGCCCAACAGTTTGGTGTTCCGACCACTGATTACTGAGTTTTAGTTTCATTAGGAAGACTAACGCTACCTGGAAAGCAGGTAAATCTATATGATTAGCCCGAAATAAGAGGAAACACACATCCTAAATCCTACTGCTGTCCACCAACAATGAAACTGTTCACGAATCTAGGATAACGAATGTAGATTTGAAGTAACACTGGGCATCCTACTAAATAAGAATCACCGATCAAAGTCTTCTCACCGTTAAAATATATCATCAAGTCTTACAATTTTGTTTGCTTAATACTTTACTTGCCTTACTTCCAAACTTCCTCTCCCATTGAATGTATACATATTATAACTAGTATTTTGACCTATATTATGTCAGACAGATGATAAAAATTAGATCGAATTTATTTGACGATTGACAATATCGAACTCATCGGGTTCGACAAATGATTAGGAAGTATTTGCATCTTTAATAAGAGATTTTTGTTTAAAATACGTCAACAGGTGAAATTTTCAGTGTTCAGGCCCTAAGTATTGATCTAATTTAGTAAATTTAGCAATTGTAGTTTGTTCTGTAGATAGTAGAGGAAATAAAATGAGGAAAAAAAGGCCAAAAACTAAGATACTTGCTTCCAAGTTCCATGTCCGAAATCAGTCAACATGCTGAACACAGTCAGAGACTGTGAAACTGGTCAGAACTAATTTTGCTTTTCAGAATAGTATGAATTTCAAGTTGCTGTTCATCATGGATTGATATCAGCTGAAAAAACACTGATAACCTGCGGGCACTAGATAGCTGTTGTGTCCTGGTATGGGACTTTCCAGCAGTGCACACCCACCACCCCACCAGGGGTCGAACACAGGACCCTCAAGTTCCCAAGCCAGCACGCCGCCATTGAGCCACTGAGTAAGAATCCAGTGGTCCACATTTCCTACTCTTATCAGTTCACGATATGAGGCGACCTCCATCCAATGTTGAAGCTAAGTAACTTCCTTCATATCCAACTTGGTTGGCCCCACCGGTCACGACTTCTCACTAAAACTTCAGGAATCATTTCTCGAACCTAGTCACTAATGTTTCTCCAGCCGATATCAGTCCGTGATGAATACCAATCTGGAATCAACAAATCTCCATAAACCTCAAAGTTGAGTATGAGTTTCTTTAGGACTGTTGATAAATCTCTCAGGTGAACACCAAGAGATACCTAACTCTGGTCAAAGACTTCTTGCAAACTGGCCTCAAGGACTTAATATAACAATTCCTCATATCTGTGCTTGCTCGCTATCAAAGAAATAACCTATTAAAGCTTTTTTTTCATCAGTTCGTATCCATGGAAAACCTATTAACTCGGAAATTCAGGTAATTATTGGCATTTGTCCATTGGAAACAGTGAGAGACGTACTAGAGTTAGAAAAGAGAAAAAAGGCTATATAAAGTAGGTGATAACGCTGATGCTCACTGAGTGTGCCTTTTAATTTGGTTGGAAACCAAACGTTTAGGTCTTCTACATTGTCAAGAACTTTTGTCGTGCAACGGCTTTTCCACCCTGTGGAAACTTTTTAAGGACCTTGCTGGCTGTAAAAATCTCAGTAAAGAAGCATATGTTGATGTTTGTGCTTTTAACAAATGGTGTATACTACAAACCAACTATCCTGTACCACTCTGTTTGTGCAGCTGAAATGAAGTGTGTTGTCCAAAATTCACTGAGAAAATTCTTTACAACTGTTTCAAATCTATGAACTCTTCACAGAGTTTCGGTTCGGATGGTATGTCAGGTTTCATATTCTCAAATGTACTGATATATTCTGCCATTCACTAACTAATATGTTAAATAAATCGTTTTCAGAAAACATTATACCAGCTGCCTGGAAAGATAACAAGGTAGTCTCTGTATCCGAGTTGGTGACTCCAGGCGTAAGTTTGAAATTCCGTCCAATCGCAGTTAATTCTCCATTCTTGAAAATTATGGAGAAGCTAATAATACCCATGCCTGGACCCTTTTCGAGGGTTTCTGGCCATCCTATTCAGTTTGTATCCCAAAGTAAAAGGAACACTCTGGATGCCACAATGTCTTCTATCATAATATCTCTCATAATCTTGATAGCAACGCCAGGTATTCCAGATGTGCCTTCTTAGCCTATACTTCTGCATCCGATTCTGTTGCAAGACCTCTTTTGCTGGAAAGGCTAACAGGACACAAACTGACTTACCATCTTCATCCATTATCCATTTATCAAAAACCCTTATGATTTTAGAGTTTCCATGCCTGTCTCCCCTTCAACAGATTATTCTTAACTGAACGATTTCCTACCTATCGTTAGGCGACAGTCCTTCGTGAATATTTTCGTGCTCAATTCTTCAAGATGTCACACCATAAACTTTAGTTCCAGACATGAGCATAATATACGTGAACTGCTCAGTTTTCACGATTCCTATTCTATTGACAGTTGTGGATCAGAGAATGTTGCAAGTGTAGTTTATGTCTGTGTGCGTTTTTCTTCGGACCTTTCCTAGTCTTCTCATATGTTACTAATTTCCGAAAAGATTTTCCACCTAACTTTCCATGTCAGGAAGCTGAGAGTATCTGTATAACTCAGTCTTCCTTCGTGTATTTTAAAAACTCTATTTCGCCCGTTCTCTTCTATTGTTCCCCATTTTTTGTTTGGGTTGCTGAAAAAAGAATATGCTGTATTGCATAGAACTTAGAAGATTGTCAGCAGAACTAGTAGTTTACCTTAAAACCTTCCAATTGAAACTATTGTGGACAAACATCTTGACTCATGTGAACAATTGGCAGAAATTATTTTGTCTGCTGACTATCATCCTCTTCCTCAAAGCTCTCTACTCGTCAATTGTCAGGCAAGACCAGGAGCAAATATGTAAGACTTTATACACGTACTACTAAATATAAAAACTTCACAATACCTAATTAGTGGTATCCTGTGCGAGGAAGAAAGTATTACGAATGAACTTACAAATCAGCTTTTGTTTCTGAAACAAACTAATTAAAGACTACAAAGCTTGCTATTGTTTACGTTTTATGAATCCAATTGATGATATGACAGTTGACCTGCGTAAACACTGCATTTCCATGAAAGTTGTAGATGGAATAAATACTCTTACCCTTTGTCCGTAATTTCTACTTACTTCATATTATTTCTATGGTTTCATATACACCGTTTCCATCCAACTGATACTATATGACGGTATTCCTGAAATATATTGCAGAGGAATGTTCAAGGTATCTAATAACTCATTGACCCCACTCTAAACATCTTCTCAAGACTAAGAACCCATTGTATCGGCAGACAGTTACCGTATTAAGCAATAGGAGAAATTATTCCCTCAGAAAAATAAAACGGCGTCTTTTATCTCGAATGATTAGATGGTTTATTTGCATTCTGTGCATAAAATGACTGGTTCAAATGTGAATTACTTCCAGAAAAGTAAGTTCCAATTATTTTCATTACTTTAAAGTTAACCATAACCTTTTGTCGGTTATTCAACACTTTGCATTTGTCCATTGGTGACGATGCTTATTCAGTATGTTGAACACTTCTGTTCACCATTGGTTTTAAGAATAGATTGTTAAGTCATATGATAGTTGGGCAATTTTAATATTTTACTTTAAATTCGTGTTACTAACTTCATTCGAGAACATCCGTCCAGAAAGACGCGAGGAAGGCATTTGAATTCAGGAAGAGAGGTACTTGGCTACAAAAACGTTGTCAACAGGGTTAATTTCAAAACAGTCATACCTATTCACAAGATCAACAAGAAATCCAATTCTTTTAACCTAACTTCATAACTTGGCTTCTTAAGAAATGTTGCCCACTTGATTTCCTACTGGATGCAAAAGTTGAAGACTTATATTCTCCTAAGGCTGAAGCTTGAAACATGAAGTCACCTTCAAAATATTTTGAGAGATACTGTGTACTATATGCTGAGAAACTAAATGTACAGTTTAAGATCAATTGCAACAAAGCTGACTTTTCACCAGTAATGTTACCTCAGACGATTAATTTTCATTTCCAGTGACCCTTGTTAGCAAGATATGCAAAATTATTAATATTATTATCTTTGCTTTGCGTTCCTAGTGGAATATATAGCTTCAGTAGCATGCCTCCAGTCCAATCCCCTCTCTGCAGTCTTTTCAATCTGGCACCACAACTGACCACTAACTCTCATTTCTCCCTCACATGATCTCCTCCAGGTCACCCATATCACCCATGTCACCTAGGACACCCAACTCATAGTTTCCCATTTGCGTCCCACTCGAGGGCATCGCCTCACACCTGATGTCCCCAATCAGCCTTCTCAGTGTATGTCCAATCCATCTCCACTCTCTTCTTCTCCATATTTGTTGGGTGGTAGGTTCTTGGTTGGTTCGTTGCCAGCCAGCCAGCCAGCCAGAGTTCCTTGTTACCTATTCCCACCATTCTGGCCATCTGATCTTCAGTAACGAGCCAGCATAGGCAGTTGTTGATGAATGTCTGTACTTTGTTGGAAATGCTTTCCGTGACACGAAAAGTTTATGAACCATGTAGCAGCGCTGACTTGATATTGGTGTTGAAAATCTGAATCTCATTCACGCTTTGTGCTGAGTGCAGTAGATCTCCACACTGATTTCAGGTTAATAAAGGCCTGTCTCACTTTTCCTATCCCGGTTTTGACATCGTCATGTGTGCCGCCACCTGTAGTTGAAACGATGCTGTCCTGCCTAGGTAGGTGGGTAGGTAGGTAAGTGAAAGAGACTACTTCTTTCAGGTTTGTCCGGTTGATGGTGATTGGTGCTTGTTTTTGTTGATGCTGTTGTTGGTTGGTTATCTTCATCACCTCTGTCTTCTTCACGTTCACTTGAAGGAAGTCCCGTCTTCACTGTCCTGCCCTGCCTCTTCTGTCAAGTTGTGGGTTTTCGTCTGTAGATCTTCAAGTTTGTGCGACATTAGACACAAGTCATTGGGAAATTCAAATCTTGTAGTGTCGTTTGATGGATCCGGCGTATGCCTCTCTTCTCGCTCCTCATGGTTTGCTGCATGATCCAGCTGACCACAATCAGGAAGATCATGGGTGATAATAGGTGGCAGTCCTGTCCTACTCCTGTCTTCATTTCAAAGGCGTCATTTTGAAGTAATAAATCTGTTCAAAACGTGAAATTTACATCTGAACATTACGATCTACACGCTGATGTAAATTATCACAGACCACATATTCAACGATATTTGGACTAATTCTGACATTAGCCTTTCATCTACATTTGTTACCAGATATTCAAATCATAACAAAAGAAGATGTGTCCTGAGAATGTAGCTAACTATGTAGCTGAAAATACATGTGTTAATATTACAAATTTTCTTTTCTTTAACGTCTCTGTTAACAACTTACCGTACTTGGTATCTGTGATATCGGATAACAAGGCCCCCATTCATATTCAAGACGATTCAATTTTGTATGATGTATACAGTTAGCGAAAATTATGAAAACTCCTGTAAAAACAATGTATGGGGAAAAAAATCAAGTCACATTATCAATGAATATATAATCAAATGAGTAAAAAAGAGAATATGATCTCCTTATACAACCTAAATTCAAAAGAATACCAACTGTTTATTGGATACTTCACCGAAATGACTCAACGAAATGTAGTAAATACCACACTTTTATCGTTCATTCTGACAGCGTTCTATCCATCAGAAGTGATACAATTCAAGTAAAATGAAGTGGTGAGAGCCCTGAAAGTGTGGTTCGCAGTTAGTGCCACTCACCTAACTAATAAAGCTCAAAAGAAACACATCAATAATATAAAGTGTAGCAATAAAACCGCCACTATATACATGGCCAAAAAAATGGATGATGTAATCATGTAGAAGGCTTGTTATGGCTTAAACAGCTCGGCCTCAGGAGCACCGATAATAAAAATGTAATTGAATAGGGCTATATTCAGATAAATCCATTATTATCCAGACAACAGGAGCTGAGTTAACCACAGACATCAAAATCAGGTCCAATACAAAACCTATTCATAGAATAACGGAAGATATATACGACGTAACAGCAGAGTATCAAATTTATGATGCCTTCATTTTTAAACTCAATGAGATGAGCCTGTATTCCTTGGAAGTCTGTTGGTCTTGGCTTTATAATCATTTTGGTTTCATTAAAATGACAAAATTGACAGTAAATGATAAAATCCATAGTCAGTTCCAATAGATCTTGAAATCCACTATAAAATCTTATTGTATTTGTGTTTAGTGACTTATTCCAAATGAAAAATGTCGTAAGCTATCCATTGTTGACTCTTGAAAGAAAAATCATGTGTTAGTAAACAATATCCAGTACGAAAACATTGAAATGATCTGAAAAATATAAGTTGCCAAATTATCTAAGTTGTTGATACCTTTTAGAGAAATTTCACGTCTAATTACACTACTGAAATTATCCGTATCTCTATTCTAGTTTACTGAACCAAGATTTTCCATTACACAATAATTCTTTCAGAAAATGAGAAAACCATAGTAAGATGAGGGTAATTGGAAATCGTAGGCCTAACTGCTAAATTAAGTAGAAGTTGACTCTTGCCTAACTGTTTTAATGTAAACTTGTCTATTAAGGATCATACAGAAGTAACGACAGTTCCTGCTGGTTTACGGCATTTTATTTTGAAGTATATAAGGATTAATATCATTTGTTATACTACGGAATGGGGTTATTTATTTTATTACTTTCAGTTATTCACTACCAGTAGCAGGTTTAGAAAAAAACTTACAAGAGGTTTTTCAGTTTAATATGGATTTTATTTTCCAGGTAAAGTTCATAATGAACCGACATCAGTTGGAGAACTATCGAAACCAACGAACCATTGACCTGTGAAGTCAACTGTTTTGAAGCAAAGTGGATGGTAGTACTATGTCACAAACAAACGGAAGTGGAAAACTGTGGACCACTGAACTTCTCCCCATTTTCCTAATGGTTAGCATGTTGACCGTGAAACCTGAAGATCCCGAGTTCCATTCCTGAAGGGATGAGTTTAAGGCTGCATACTTCTAAGAAGTCTCATATCAGGGTGAAACAGCTGCTTAATACCCTCAGGTGTTTAGTGGTTCTCGAGGTGAAGTCAGTCTGTGATAGATGCTACCTGATAAAAGCCTTGTTAGGTTACCTTGAAATTTAACGGCGCATAACAAATAATTCTTCAAAAGAATAAGCACATTTTATTTAAGTGATAAGCTGCAGTGAATTAATGTTTTAAACTTACTTAGGAGGACAATAACTATCTCATAATTGCTTTGCAGCTATCGCTGAAATGTCGCTGGGGAACATAAGGGAGAGAAATGATGCAAAAATCAAGAAAACAACGAACGAACCATTGAGTTTGATTAAGTAACCGCATGTCTTAAAGCTACCTAGAGCATAAGTTTTAACGTATCCTGACAAGCAATGAACTGGATAGTTTGGACAGGACAATTTTGCATAAAACATTTAAGATACTACTGATCTTCTCCAACAAACTATTCCGTAATGCGGCTTGCACCAACAAATTCTAGAAAACTATAATGATACATATTAGATGTAGCCGTGTTCACATATCCTATGGAAGTCATGATCAGCTTCTTTCACCTACGTGTTTTTACACAAATAACCTACTCCCTGGCTCAAAATTAATGTGATAAGTATCTCAGTATAACCCATCAAAAACTTCGAATAAATTCATCTTGAATAGATAGTCCGCTCTTCGACTCAGACTTCAAATAAATTCATTAAAAATGTGTCAAGCCAATCCTATCATCCTCACGCATAAAAAAGCCAAGTATCTGTCGTATCAAACTGGAACAACCTTAAATTGTCAGCTATGAACATCCGCTCATAATCACTTTATCTCACATCATGAAATTACTCTGATAATGGCATCTAGCATGATATTGAGATGTCTGTCAGCAAAAACTACAGTTCATGAGAAAGGCTTCAGATTTTAATATTAGAGGAAAACATGTGCACTGTGGTACAATGTAGTTCCATTTTTATTGAATTATTAGATTTATCACACAGTGAAACATTACTGTTTACTGGATTACATTCCAGACATAATTCATTGTCCTCAGTTGTATCAAGCAAGATAACTATACAACTCTCAGATATTCTTCATATAGTCTCCATTTCATCGCCACCTTTGTGAAGTTGGTAGTAAGATTTTGCATATATCTGGAACAGGTAGTGAGTCATTCCCGTTGCATTTGTTTCGTGTTGACTCGATAAACAGAGATTCAGTTATCAATCTTCCCCTCCAAAACTTATTCCTAAGTGAGTTTGTATGTTTAAATGCCACTCTAATTTCAGCCAGTCTTAATGAGAATCCTACATAATGTTCCTGGGGTGCCCTGTTTGCATGATACTACTGTGGATGTTTTGAATTCTCTCTTCACAGTATTGCCGACAACCCTACAAGCTCACTTAGAAATAAGCCTTGGAAGTTAAAAGATCCCATTGATACAATTAAACAGAATAACTTAGTTTATCAAAGCCCTTACAACCACTGCGATGTCAAATACATAGGTCGAAGTAGTCGACCAGAGTCAATTAGGACATCCATGCAAAACAGCCTAGCTAGACATAAATTGGTAGATTCTATTCAGGTAAGGAATTTGGAAAATATCTCAGCCATAGCTATGCATGTGACTACACACAATCACACAGTAGGATGTGACACGGTGAAAATCCTTAAAACAAACACAGAGGAGTGGAGGGAAGATTGATAACTGAATCTCTGTTTATCGAGTCAACACGAAACAAATGCAACGGGAATGACTCACTACCTGTTCCAGATATATGCAAAATCTTACTACCAACTTCACAAAGGTGGCGATGAAATGGAGACTATGTGAAGAATATCTCAGAGTTGTGTAGTTATCTTGCATGATGCAACTAAGGACAATGAATTATGTCTGAAATGTAATCCAGTAAACAATAATGTTCCACCGTGTGATAAATCTAATAAATCAATAAAAATGGCGTCAAATTTTGACATGAATGTCATCAAAAGCCCTAGCTCATAAAAAAGCATTCCGTACCAGATATTCAATACTTTTTGTTCCTAGTAGTTTCTTAAGTGGCTCCAAAATGTGATGGAAATCACTTTGATTTTTATTGGTAGACATATATCTAACAATGTGGCGTCTGCAACTTTGATAACTGAGTGACATAGATACTTTGCGATAGACTCAAAATATAATTTCATTCATTCATTATCATTCACATAAAAAATACTAATCATAATAAATAAAAGAAAAGCTATTTTAAGCGAATTTAAGGGGTGTTTCCTGTTCCTGAAATAAAACGATGATTTCTACCTTTGTAAAGTTTCATTCAAAATTATTTTTATCATCTAAAATGGTACCATTGCACAAGCCTAATGTTGGGAGCATAATGAAAATTATACTTAGAGTATGAAAATAAACAAAATTTTGTAAGTAATATGAGAATTGGCTTAGTAAATCATCAAGTTATGCATGACTTCAAGCTTATTTTTATCCTCCAGAATTTATTCCATGATACAGTAGGAAAATAAGCAGGGAATTATGTAATTACGTAGTGCAGGTTAAATCTGTGACAGAGTAGGAAAATGAATAAGGGATGAAGGAAATACATGTATTGTTACCTAATACAAACTGAATCTATGATACTCAAGGCTTTATGATGGACGCATAACGCTGGTGTGAACTAGCGATCCAGAAGTTCACACTAGCGTTATGCGTCAAAAAAGGTGCATCCAACCTTTATCTCTACCATGGCAATCACAAAGCCTTGACTGTCATAGATTCATTTTGTATAAGGTGACAATACATGTATTTCCTTCGCCCATAAATCATTTTCCTATTCTGTCATAGATATAACTTGCACTACTTAATTTTATTAGTATTATTATTTGTCCCTTTGTTTCCTAGTGGAAAATACGGCTTCAGTAGCATGTCACTATTTCACTCTCTTCTCTGCTCTCTTTTGAACCTGGCTCCACAACTGCCCACAACCTTTCATTTCTTCGTCACACGATCTCCTCCATGTCACCCTCGCCTCAGACGCCCAATTCATCGTTTCCCATCTGAGTTCCACTCGACAGCCTGGCTGGCACGTGATGTCCTCAATCGATCATCACAGTTTATATCCGATACAATCCATTTCCACTTTCTTCTGCATATTTGTTGGGTGAAGAGTTGCTGGTTGTTTCGTTGCCAGCCAGCAAGAGTTTCGTGTTGCTTATTTTTATTATTCTGGCCATCTGATCTTCAGTATGGAGCGAGGGTAGGCGGCGGTTGTTGATGAATGTCTCTAGTTTGTTGGCAATGTTTTACGCGACACTCCAAGTTTCTGAACCATATAGCAGCATTGACTTGCTGAAAATCCGGATCTTGCTCACCCTTTATGTTGAGTTCAGTGCAGTGTAGTAGATCTCCACACTGATTTCAGGTTAATGAAAGCCTGTCTTGCAGTCTTT